ATTGTATATTATGTTTTGTATGTATCAATTATTACATCATATATAGGGTTAAACATTTTGGTAAAATTATCATTCAGTTGCAAATTTAGTTTGCTGGTTTCGTAAATGTGAAATCTCTCATATGTATCCAAGGTTCGGCCTTTCTTGCAGATATATAGAACTTCTAATGTTTTGTCTATTGTACTATATTCATGTGTGGTGTCCAATATATGTTGAGCAAATCTGGAGCTTTGTCTGTTATTTTTTATGTCTCATATGTGTTCTCTGAATCTGATCTTAAAGGTATGCCCAGTCTGTCCTATATATTTTAATGGACAGTCAGAACATTGTAGTTGGTAAACCCCACTAAGATTATACTTATCATTTTTGTCATCATTTATTTTCAACAGATATTTTATATTGTTTTTTGTCTTATATGAGATACCAACTTCAGTATTCTTGAAAAGTTTAGTAATAGATCTGATTTCATGGCCGAAATGTGTAAAGGTGGTCCATTTATTTTTCTGCGTAGTATTTTTTGTGCAGGGTTTATGTGTTAGTTGTATGGTGTTTAGTGAGTAATTATTATTATTTAGAATAGTTCTAACAATGTTTTCTTCTGTGTTTTTATTGTTATCCGAAAGGGGATATTAGAAAGCAGGCCAAATTGTAATGGTGACAGGATCCAAGCAAGTTAAATGGGGATAATCTGAACAATATAAGACTTGAAACAAGCAGGCATTTCAGGAACAAAAAGAAGGAATATCTGAAAGACAGAATTGATGAGCTTGCAATGAACAGTAAGAACAAGAACATTAGAGACCTGTATAGAGGAATAAATGACTTTAAGAGGGGTCACCAACCTAGAAGTAACTAAGTGAAGGATGAGAATCGTGATCTGCTTGCAGATTCCCACAACATTTTGAATAGGTGGAGGAACTACTTCTCTCAGTTATTGAATGTACATAGGGTCAGTGATGTTAGGCAGACAGAAATCGATACAGTTGAGCCCTTAATACCTGATCCTAGCCCTTTTGAGGTTGAAAGTGCTATTGCAAAATTGAAACGGTATAAATCGCCAGGTAGTGATCAAATTTAGGCAAAACTGATTCAAGCAGGAGGTGAAATATTACATACCAAGCTAATTAATTATATCTGGAACAAGGAAGAATTTCTTCATCAGTGGACGGAGTTCACAAGAAGGGTGATAAAACCGACTGTAGTAATTATCAGGGGATATCACTGCTATCAACTTCATACAAAATTTTATCCAATATTCTTCTCTCAAGGTTAAGTCCATATATAGATGAAATTATTGGGGATCATCAGTATAGGTTTTGACGTAACAGATCAACTATAGATCAGATCTTTTGCATTCATCAGATATTGGAGAAAAAATGGGAGTAAGATGAGACAGTACATCAGCTATTCATACTCTTCAAGAAAGCCTATGATTCGTTTAGGAGGGAAGTATTGTATAATATTCTGATAGAGTTTGGGATACCCATGAAACTAGTTAGGTTGATTAAAATGTGTTTAAACGAAACGTATAGTAAAGTCTGTATAGGTAAGCATTTGTCTGATAAATTTCCTTTCCAGAATGGTCTAAAACAAAGATGTTTTATCGCCACTCCTTTTCAACTTTGCCTTAGAATATGCCATTAGGAAGGTCCAGGGAAACCAGGTGGGACTGAAATTAAATGGTACACATCAGCTGTTGGTCTACGCCGATGATGTGAATCTACTGGGTGATAATGTAGATACTATAAAGAGAAAGACACAAACTTTAATTGACGCAAGTACAGAGGTTGGTCTTGAAATAAACACAGAGAATACTAAGTATAGGTTGGTGTCTCGTCAACAAAATGCAGGGCAAAATCATGGCATAAAGCTATGAAACAGATGTTTTGAACATGTAGCACAGTTCAGATATTGGGGAACGACGATAACAAATCAAAACATGATTGAGGAGGAAATTAAGAGGAGATTGAACTCGGGATAATGCTTGCTACCATTCAGTCCAGAACCTTTTGTCTTCTCGTCTGCTGTCCAAAAACATAAAAATTAGAATATACAAAACTGTAATTTTGCCTTTGGTTCTGTATGGGTGTGAAACATGGTCTCTGACACTAAGGGAGGAACATAGACTGAGGGTGTTTGAGAACAGGTTGTTGAGGAGAATATTTGGACCAAAGAGAGATGAAGTAACAAGAGGTTGGAGAAAACTGCATAATGAAGAGCTTCATAACTTATACCCTTCTCCAAGTATAATTAGAATGATCAAGTCAAGGAGATGAGGTGGGCACAAATGTAGCACAAATGGGGGAGACAAATGTGTATAGGATATTGGTGAGAAAGCCAGAAGGAAAGAGGCTACTGGGAAGACCAAGGCATAGGTGGTTGAACAATAATAAAATGGATCTTATATAGGATGGGATGGTATTGATTGGATTGATCTGGCTGAGGATAGGAATCAGTGGAGGGCCCTTGTGAACACTGTAATGAACCTAAAATAAAATGCATAAAATGCTGGGAAATTCTTGAGTAGCTGCAGAATTGGTGGCTCCTCCAGAAGGGCTCAGCTCCATGAGTGAGTAAGTAAGTAAGTAAATAAGTAAGTGGAGAGCTAATAAGCTGTTGGTATTAACTTCTCTTTTCTAAGTAGCAAGGAAAATAAAGATACAAGGTGGTTCAAATATGACCGGGACTGATTTGTGTGTAAACAAGCCGAACTGCGCAGCAGCTGTGCGACCTTGAGAGAGTGAAGCCACAACCTCCACCCTCCGTCCTGTTCAGGTTAGAACCTGTTCAGTTCTGTCTGGGAGTTGTTAGAATGATGAACAAACAGAAGGTACCGCAGAGTGTGGGACAATGCGTTGTGATCAAATTCCTCGTCGGAGAAAATGTCCCATCCGCTGAAATTCACCACAGACTCCAACAACAGTGTGGGGAAGAGTGTCTCTCACGGACCCGTGTGTTTGAGCGGTGTAAGTGCTTCAGAGAGGCAGAGAGCGCGTGGAGAATGAACCACATGATTGTTGACCACGAACATCCATCACTGAGCCAAACATTGATTGTGCAGACATGCTTGTTCGTGAGAATAGCGCATCACTATCAAGGAACTTGTAGAAATGCTCTCCATCAGTGTTGGTAGTGTAGGAGACATCGTGAAATACCACCTGCACTATCGCAAGGTGAATGTACGGTGGGTACCATGCACTTTGACGGATATGAAAAAATGGTGCGCATGCAAGCTGCCTGTCGTCTCCTACAGCCATTTGAAGAAGAAGGTGATGCATTTTTGAAGTCTATAGTGACTACCGATGAAACGTGGGTGCACTACTGCATTCCCGAGTCCCAGCAGTCATTGCCCGAGTGGCGGCATACCAGTTTTCCCAAACCTAAGAGAGCGCGGATGAGCCGTTCGGCAGGAAAAGTGATGGCAACGTTCTTCTGAGACTGGCAGGGGGTTATCCATGTAGACTTTCTGACAGATGCCAGAACAGTCAAGGCAGCTTATTACTCAGACGTCCTGGCAACAGACGAGAAGGAAAAGATCCGATCCAAGCAGGAGACAGGTGGAAAGCAGGTACCCTTCCTTCAAGACAATGCACGCCCCAATACAGTCAAAACAACAATGGAAACACTCCGGAAATTGAAATAGAACCTTCTGACACATCCGCCATACAGTCCCGATTTGGCCCCAAGTGATTTCTACCTGTTTGGAAGCCTCAAATCAGACTTGCAAGGCATGCGGTTTGTGGACGATGCCATCATCCAGACTTTTCGGGAGTGGATACGCCACCAGCCACAAGCCTTTTTTGAAAAGGGCGTCAGGATGCTTCCAGAACGTTGGAAAAAATGTGTTGACTGCAGATGGGAGTACGTTGAAGACTGACATGCGCAAGTAAGTGTTTGGCAATTATGGTTTAAAAAAATTCAGTCCCAGTCATATTTGAACCGCCTTGTATGTATTGTCACGTGTTGGGTGTATAAAGCGACAAGTAACTTCACGCCTTATTTGATATAGCGAATTTATTGCACAATCGCTCCACACTTATACAATTCACTATCTCAATTGCTGTTCAACTACGTCTCGGCAAATCCATTCAACTGTCTCCGGCGGCGGCTAGCCTGTAACTGTCTGGTTACTGACTCACTAATCACTCACTACTCTTGTTTCCATTCACTCCGAACAGTGCTAGACTGTAACTGGCTGGTTAATCATTACTCAGTAGTAACTGGCTCAATCCTCACTGACTGAATAGTGTTCGCTGCTCCTTATTTAGCCTCGGCACGGACAACACAAAAATCAGTTACATGATAGGTACCACTGTTGCTTAATGTCATGTTTACCAATTGCCTGGCAACAGTCATTGCATGGACTCCCCTGTTGCGTGACGCTGTGTTTACAAAGGCGTTGCTGGGCAACGCTGCCGAAAGTTGTTTATTGCTGCATAGCAACCATGGTGTCCCCTGTTACATCACCACGCGGGAGGGGGACGGGGTGTTTACCGAGCATTGCGCTGTCACATCATAGTATATATGTTGTTATGAAATGTTTGTGAAATTAGCTCTCTGAATAGAATACAGTAACTTTTTAAAATAATCTGATCTGTTCATTTATTTTACATATACATTTAAACCTGTCTTTCTGGTCACTATAGCTGACATAGAAGAATACTGCCAACACTTCATATCCACGTCAGTTAAAAGAAATAAGAGAAAATCTGAAATAAAGTATTTTATCATGGATGGCTTTTGTGAATTTCTTCTTCTCAGGTAGCAAAATCTACTTGTGTGAGGCAGACAGGTGACCATGCATTACAGTATGTTTTACTGTCAGGTGGCTGGCTAGTTCAGATGGTTAGGCCCAAACTTTGCATGTGGGAATATCTTAATTAGTATGACTGTGCAGATCATCCATTCATTCTGAAACATCCTGTAAAAGTTAGGCAACCCATTATATTATCACCATGTAACAGTCTTTGGTAATTGAGAAGTGCATCTTTTGTTTTCAGTGACAGTATGATGAGCATGCATGGTTATCCAACTGTTGCTTTAAGTGGCCATCCACAGCTCTTCCTGCAGCAGAATTTATCTGTGCCTGGACGTCCGCCAATCTATAAGGTCGCCCCAGCACACGGAACTCAGCATTCACTGCTGCCACCTGTAAGTAATGTGAGGAAAGGATGGACCAGAGTAACAACATATCAGTATTAGCTGAAATCCATGGTACTTTCATGTAGCCATGTGGAATCATTTCTACCAAAGAATAAATTAGGTTCTAGTATGGCCTTATGAAGTATTTCACATTGACATAATAATTACAGAGCAGGTTAGCCCATCTTTTACTTTGGAGGTGACCTGCTGAAATCTTGGCTGGGGCACTGACCATCCTGACTGAGGATTTTCTTCGTTTTCCTTAGTTTCTCTGGGTTGATGCTGATTAGTACCTTAAATTAGGCCATGACTGCTTCCTTCCATATTGTTTCCAGTTCATTATCATCCAGCCATTTAGAACTATATGTAGTCTGGGTCATTAATAATAAAAATAAACAATGCAACCTTGTGTTTCTGGACATTATCCATTGTCCTGTTTGCATTTAGAACACCATCTTGCTTTTATCTAAAACAACATTTCAGAGACTGAAATCTCTCTCCATATTCATGTGGAACCTACTCAGTTGGGCCATATCAGAAGACAGCTAGTCCCTATCTTTGGGCACCTGCACCAACAACAAACCAAGCACAGCACAAAGCATCTGTGAGAGTTAAGACTGAACATTAAAACATTAAAAACCTATGAGGCCTAGCACTATCTACTAGCACCTACTATCAGAATAGGTGTCAACACTGGAGAGCGAAATTCTCTATATGGTACCAACATAAGAAACACAATTTTCCCACTTAATCTACACTGGACAGAGTTTTGTCCCCCCCCCCCTGCTGCGATAATGGGAGTGCAGATGCGAGAGATGTCCAAGCTGTGCTGACTGATCAGATGATCTACCAGAGACATGTAGACAGATTCATTGTATTTCCTGTGTATGGTGTTTGGTTCAATTTGCAAAACCTTCACTTATTTCCAATATAATGCATTTTGTTGCCTTCTTCACACGCACATTAGGCTGAGTTTGATTCTTTTAAGCAGACCTTGTGTCAGGTTTATATTTGTACTCCTTAATGAGTGCTACTAAAGGTCTGTTTGTTTCACCGATTTAACATCTTCCACAATCATGTGGGACATTACACACAAACTGCTTCTGCTGGGCATCTCTAAGCAGGTTCCACCTGAAGACGGAAACAGAATCCAGTTTGTGAAACACTGTGTTTTGAATAAAAACAGGATGATGGATAATGTCCAGAAACACATTAGTTGTATTGATATACCATCATCACAGACTTTAACATCTTAATTGAAAATAAACAAATGAATACAGACATAGAATTATGTTCATATTGTGAGCACTGCTAAAATTATAGGCCTTGCTTGGAAAACATGGCTCTTGATCAGTAGTGGTTTTGTGGTCGACAGGGTCCTGTGCACAAGTGTTCTCTTTGGCGCCCTATATGTCCACATAAATAAACGTAAGTGTCTGATAGCGCTAAGTGCAGAAGAATGAGCCACATAATAATGTATGTCATCCTTTTTATTACTGTTTCTTAAGAAGGACTTTTTGTTCTTATACCTAATCCTTCCAGCCGCACTGTAGCCCTGGTGTCAGCTCAGGCTCTAATAGAAATGAGTACCAGGAATCTTCCTGGGAGTAAAGGGCAGCCAGCGCATAAGGCCGACAACCTCACTGCCATCTGAATGCCAGAAAATGTGGGAGCCTCAACGTATAACAACCCTATGGGCCTCCACAGCCTGCTGCAAGGATAACTTTACCTTTTTTTCTTTTTCTTTTTTTTCCTTCCATTACTGATGTGTGTGTTCATTTGAAAATGAACTTTAGTTAAAGAAGTAAAAGGCATGGGAAGTATTTGTTTTGAAGAAAATTATGAACAACCTGTCCTAATTTACCTTTTGCAGTGCAGAACTTTCAATTGCTAAACTTTCTGAACTCGTTAAATGCCCTTGAGATGTGGTAGAGCATAAGTAATTTACTCTTTTGAAGGAGTTGAAAGATCTATAACTAGTTGCATTTGGTGTGGGTAATGTTAAAAACATATTAAAAATTGTCTCTACATTTGGAAATTTTACAGACATCCACTTCATTCCTCACCATCCCTGTGCCACCAAACTAACAGCAGCTGGGTTCTTGATGTGCTCATATAACACGTAGGCTGAAGGCACATTCTTTCTTGCATTCTGAGACACTGAACACACGTTTCACTAATGACTCATTATGAATCATGTATATGTTATATTCACTCATGTAAAAGTAAAAAAAGTAAAGCTATCCCTGTACCAGACCGTGAAGGCCCATAGGATTGTGAGACATTGAGGTCGCACACTGTCTAGACAATCGGCTCAAAGATGGTGGTAAGGTTGACAACCTTACACGCTGGCCACACTTTACTCCCCAGGAACATTATTTAATTAATTCCTGGTACTCATTTCTGTTAGAGGCTGAGTAAACCCCAGGGCCTAGTGTGGCTGGAAGGATTAGGTCAACAGAAAAGAATCCCATGACCTCATCAGGACTTGAACCCGCAACCTTCTGACTTGTGGCATGGCCCCTCAACCACTACATTACCGCTTGCCCTTATTCACTCATGTATATTATGTAAATATACCTAAACTATAATAATTTTAGGTTTGGGGGTGCCCAGAGTGGCCTAATGGGCAAGCCAACACTGCAGTTTGGGACTGAAAAAACTTGAACATTTTCAACAGACTTGTTTTGTATGCTGTCTTTTCTGAAAAATTTCCTCATATAGCATTACAACTCAGTGCATAGTTTCCTATCAACTTTAGTCTTCTATTTGTAGGTCTTTTAAAGTTACTGAGGTTAGGTATATTTGATGAAACTTGTTTTTAACAATTTCATGTCGAAATTTAAATGGACTGGCATTAGTGTTACAATGTACAAGACAAGCTGCATAAAATTAATTATAAAAACAGTTCTTAACCTGTCTTTTCCCTTATGATGTCCACACTTCATCATCCAGTCTTGTTCAAAGGTTCTTTTTCCAACTAGAAAATAAATTATTTTATATAATTTGCAAACATTTTGATTCTCTAAGCATCAGGAATGAATCTACTCTTCCAGTTTCCATCAGGTCATGGCAGTTTTAATCATATGTTAGGGTTGTGCCTGTTAGACATGGTTTGGAGTGGGTGATTGGATTTATTTCACTTATACGCTCAACTTGTAATTACAAGTGACAAAGCGCTGTCACTGATGTACACACTTTACAGTTCACATTTACACACTAGTGTTCTCAATCCTGGCAGTGGAGTTCAACACAGTACTTATACCACTCTCGCTGTAACTACAGCACTCTTGAAGTCTTCCTTGCACAGCCTAATTTCTTTCTTGCCATTTCTTCTCAGTCATCTTCTACTGTGATCTCTCTGGAGACTCCCTCAGGTCTTCTCATTATTCAGCCTTGGGACATACCCACAGAAAACATTCTTCATTCTCGTATGCTAATCATTTCCACGGGAATGTTTCTGCATCACTCAGCAAGTAGTTGTTTACCAAGCATCGGCTGCCCTAGCAGTGGTGTTATGTTGTTTTGTCACCCAAAGAACATGTTTACTGAGGTGTTGCCTAGCAATGAACATCTCTGACTTCATTATTTCAGTCATCATGTCACAGTATTAAAACTTAAAATTTCAAAAAGCTTAAATAAATTGAATGAAATATACAGATGTACAACTAGGAGGTCTTCATTTTGTATCACTCAGCTTAAGTGTATGATCACTTAATTTGTGTCTGAGACAGAGTTCATTTGCTCAAGTGACAGACCAAATGTCCACTAGCACACTGACACACTGATACTACAGTATTTTGTAGTCTTCTTCAGACAAGCTAACCAGATGCTGGGATATTACATTTCATTAGGGCATGACTGCTTCCTTCCACATAATTTCCAATTCACTGTTCACTTATCACTGCTGTCTGATCCGAGATGCTGACATCAACAAATGAACCAGTACATACATACATACATTTATATCAGTCCAACCATAGATTCCATTGAATGACTATGAAAACTGGTTTTGTTTCAGAGCTTTGAGTTACCTCTTTGTTTGTGAATGCTTTGATTGCAGGGAGCTTTGAAACGATCACGAAGTCCATCTCCGCCTCCACCAAACTATCATCAAGGCTATGGCTACAAACCAGGGACCATCCCTGCTTATCCTCAGCAAAGTGCGTATAGAGATCATTTAACTTTGCGTTATTCAGCTTTCTTCATTCCTTTTTCAGTTATGTGTGAAATAATTTGGTTTATTATCACGTATTTTGCAATGAACGTGGCAGGCAGCGGAACTGTATGTAAGGAATCGCTGAGTTCTGCCCTGTTTTTGCTTTGCAGTTCTGATTTGTCTTCATTGACCACCGGAGGCTGGTTTACACTCAACAGACTTTGAATGTTTTTGAAACATCTGTTAACTTAAGCAAGTGCAGAATCTAATTTGTGTTTTGGTAGCCCAGTCAGTATAGTGCCTGGGCTGTAGGCTAGGTGACCAGGGAAGCGGGATTTGATTCCACATCATCCAGAACAGTGATGGGGTAGCCTCCTATCAGAGGATACTTCCAGCTCTTTCCATAGGGGTATAGCAGCTGGAGCATGAAGGTGACCACTGACCTTCATCTAGTGCCAGAAATTTCCATGGCATGGTACTTAATTAAGCACTAAGACAACCTTACCTCAGGCCTTTAATCTTCACACATTCTTAATATGAATCAGTGATAATGCTTATTCACAGAGTTTATTGTGCATGGATGCTTGCTGTATTTCTTTAGTTTAAGTCTTGGACAGTGAGTCAAGCCCCCCTTCCACTCTGAAGACAGTATCTGCTTGCTCCGTTACTTCTCCTTTAAGAGGCAGTGATTGAAGCAAATAGAGGCTTTGTGTTAGAACTGTTAGTCTAACAACATTCCAGTGTTATTACTGTTCCTCCTGTAAGATAAAGATTTTAGATTTGTTCCCTTCTAGTGCAAAACAGTGTAGGAACTGAAATATTTTGTTGTTGCAGAAGTTGATGATGGTAGAAGAGGCCACGAGTATGTGCGGGCTGTTTTATGGAACAGTAAGTGCGATTTTTTATAAACTATTTCGCAGTAGGCATTTTTAATATTACATCCTGTAAAGGTATTTTTTTTATTGCTAGTGGGGTGGGATTTGTACTGTGGCCACTTCTGGCCTATTGTACCAGCCCCAGATGATAGGTGAGGGTGTTTGTGGAGCAGTTGGTGGAATGAAGATTGGCAGGGGAATCCGAAGTACTCGGAGGAAACCTGCCCCTGCACCACTTTGTCCACCACAAATCCCACTCGACCAGACCTGGGATCGAACCTGGGGCGCCGTGACGGAAAGCCAGCAACTAACTGCTTGAGCTATGCCACAGCCCTTCTCAGCCTTTACTAACCATTGCTTGGTAGCGGCTTCCAGTGGCAGATATTCTCCTTCCTTAAGGTTCCCAAAGTGGATGTGGGCTCAGCCACCAGCTTTTCACTTCTCACAGCTGCAACTCTCAACTGACTCAACCGCAACTGCAGTACTAATCCTTGTTATGTACCTGAGGCATGGACCACACAAAACGTCTATACCATTATTGCATGTTCTCTCATTGTGAGGAAAACATGTCCACACAGCTGTTTCCTAGCAACTGCTGTTGTACTGTTGCCTGTTTACATAGCTGTTACTCGGCAAAGGGTCTACATGTCACAGTATATCATCTGTACCAAATGTTGAAAGAAGGTTTGAGTGGTGAAAAAATCTTTGAGAGTAAGGCAAATGGTAGAAGAAAAGTGGGAGGGCCCATTATTATATGACCTGAAAATGAAGAGTGAGGCACAAGACAGTAGTGGAGGGGAACAGGCATCTGCTATAAAGGATATACAGCTGAGGAGAAAGTAGGTAATATATACGTATCTATATATAAAGGTAAAGCTGTCCCTGTAACAGGCCATGGAGGCTCGTAGAGTTGTGAGATGTCAAGACTCCCACATTTTCTAGTCAGTCAGCTCACAGATGGTTGTGAGGTCATAAGCCTCATACACCAGCTGCCCTTTACTCCCAGGAAGATTCCTGGTACTCATTTCTGTTAGAGGCTGAGTCTACCCCAGGGCCATAGTGCAACTGGAAGGATTAGGTCAATTGAAATATCCATTGACCTTATTAGGAATTGAACCCACAACCTTCTGGCCTGTAGCATAGTGCCCAAACAACTATGCTACTGCGTGACCCCAGAAATTAGTATTGTGTATACAAATATACAGTAAAAAACGTTTTAAAAGTAGATGAATATATAAGTTGGCTTCCATTGCATATTAATAGCATGTGCTCTGTTTCATTTACCCTGTATCTAATTTTGAAATCCTAAACATAGTTTTTAAGTATGCTCATTATGTCTTGACAGAGAACACCCAGTATACAGGATCACAGCCATTTTACGCACCTCACGGACCACAGCAGGTGGCAGCATCCACCACAGTGAGCTACTCACCATCGCCAGCACAACAGACAGTGTACACTTATGCAGGCCCACAGTATGCTCAGCCTCCACCTGGTGCAGCAGCAGCACCACCTCGTGATGACTCAGGGAAGCAACCACAGCATGGTGTCTACTTGGGCCAGCCTCCTCGACCCAGCCTTGCACCTCTGCCCCCTCACAGTCAAGGTAAGCATCAGGTCTGCTGCACTGTAACGTTGTGCTGACAGGATATCAGTTTCCTGCAGCAGGGAAATGAAACAAACATTAAAATATGCATAACTGTAGTGTTAACTGCTGTTTTGTTTGGGTATGAAACTTGGTCTTGCACCGCTGAGGGAAGAATGTAGAAAGAACTTAGACCAAGGGTGTTGGGGAAGAGATGCTGAGCAGGATATTTGGATCTAAGGTAGAGAAAGGAGGAAATTGTGAGGTGAGGATCTTCATAATTTGTTTTCTTCAACAAATATTATTAGACTGATTGAATAAAAGCAGTTGACATAGGAATGACATTCAGCATGCAAGAATGAGATAGGAAAGCATACAGAATATTACTTGGAAGACCTTGATGCAGGTGGGAAGATAATATTAAAATGGATTTTCTGTGGGCTGTTTTATGATTCTGTCACTAGATAGACTATATAATCATGAGTGGTAGCATAATGTGGTTATATTGGGAATGATTTGGAAGAAAGCAGTTGTGGCCTAATGAATATACTTTCTGGATGGACTGACAAAACCCATGAAAAACCTCGGTCAGGATAGCCTATGTCTGCCAAGATTTGAACCAAGCAGCTCCAAAATACCAAGTGTAAAGCATTGCCACTACCAACCTGTTTGCTAAAATGGATATTAAAGAAACAGAATATGAGAATGTGAAGTGGTTCATCTTGGAACAGGGTCTGGTGGCATATTATTGTGAACACGGTAGTAAATCTTTGGTTTCATAAAAGGGGGGAAATTTCTTGACTAGGAGCTGATGAGCACAAAACTATTAGAGAGAATCTCCATTGTTGATGACCATTACCAAGCAGCAAGTACATGAAGACGTAGACTGGAAAGACATTGAGAGTACTGTAGTTATTTGAAGTAACAAAAGCAGTGAACAAAATAGTAACAGAAATGTAATTATTTGTAGTTAAGAGCAATAAGTATACAATAAATTTGAAGAATTTAAGATGGTGGACAGTATCCAATATAATATTCTTGTCTGTTTGACATACCTAAACCAGAAACATTTAGTGAAATGGTAGATATTACGAAAGTTGGAACTTTAATAGTGGCAACTATTTATTTACAACTGATGCAAAATAGATGCATGTTTCAAAGTTTTACTGTCCTTCAGTGTAGTCACCAGCAATGTGTACAACGTGTTGCCAGTGATGTGGAAGCCGTAGGTTACCTTTAGCAGTGCCTGTTATGTTGATAGTTCAATGGAGAGGTCTGCTGCCTGAAGAATCTCTGAAACAGTTCTGAAGCGAATGCCATGAAGTGGTTCCTTCATCTCAGGAATCAAGTCAAAGTCAGAAGGGCTTAATTCCGAGGATTATGGTGGATGGTACAGCACTTCCCAGCCCCATCGATCGAACAAATCAGCCACAGCTTGCGCTGCATACGGCCAAGCATTGTCCTGCAAGATGATGGTTAGGCTCTGCAGAAAGTGTCGCCACTTCTTTCTCAAAGCTGGTCGCAGGTTGTGTTCCAAAAATGAACAGTAATACTGCACATTGATGGTCTGCTGCCGGGGAACAGTTTGCATTAAGATAACACCATCAGAGTCATACACGAGAATCACCATAACTTTCACATTGCTGGGGTTCTAATGAACTTCTGATTTTCGTGGTGACTAATAATGATGCCATTCATTCAATTGGCGTTTCATTTGTGGCTCATACAATTTGGCCCATGTCTCAACCAGCATAATGATACAGCGTAAGAAAGCCTCTCCTTCGTGCTCATAGCACTCCAAGTGGTTACGAGCAGCGTCATATCATAGCCATTTCTGCATTTCCACCAAATCATGCAGAACCCATCATGATGCAGTTTTTCTCATGCCCAGGCGTTCCTTCAGAATGTGAAACACAGTTGTATGCGCTAATTCTCTCTCGGGCCAGCTCATGAATCGCATGGCGTCGATCATTCTCCAGTAACATGGAATGAGCATACACTTCTTCTTCACTGACACTAGGACGACCTGGCCAACGCATGTCTGCCACATTTTGTCTTCCCTCGTTGAAGGCTTTTACCCACCTTGCCACTGTTCTGTAAGGCAATGCAGATTCCCCGCAAGCCTCTTGAAGACCTTGATGACACTGTCGTGCTGTACGGCCTCTGGCACATTCAGTCTTTATCCAACTCCGTTGTTCCTGTTTCGAAAATATCCTGACAACACTACATTAGACCGCCAGCTAACACGAGGCTCTATTCGTCTCGTGACTGCACATGTACGTGATGTGGGAAGGGAGAGTCCATTTTCTCTGAAGTAAGGTAGGTATGTAACTAACGTGTGGTATAAGCGACATTATTTGGTTCCATTGCATGGCATCTACAGCAGTGTTGCCACTATTAAAGTTCCAATCCTTGTATATTTGAACAAGCTGTATTATTAGGTGAGTAAAAGTTAAGTCAAAACTATCCCTGTAACAGGCCATGGAGTCCCATGTGCTTGTTAGATGTCAAGGCTCCCACATTTTCTACACAGTATGCTCACAGATGGCATTGAGGTTGACCTCCCTATGCACTGGCTGCCCTTTGCTCCCAGGAGGGTTCCTGGTACTCATTTCTGTTAGAGGCTGAGTCTACCTCAGGGCCACAGTTTGACTGGAAGGATTAGGTAAATTGAGAAATCCAGTGACCTCATCAGGAATCAAACCCACAGACGTCCACTGCTAGGCAGTGGCTCGGTAAACACATTCCTTCAACAAAAAATATGCAAGCAGTAATAGAAGAACTACTGTTTCTATTCAACATTGAGTAGGTATGCGTCTATAAAATAGAGGAATTGTTGGAATAACAATGGAAACAGTGTTTTCTGTGGTCCACCCTGAGGCTGTATAACAATGATTATGGGCCAGCTGGAATCAGAATTGAGTGAGTCTCTTGAGATGTCAGTTGAAGGTGTTAGAGAAGACATGGCAAGAAAGGAATTAGGCTATGAAAAGAAGACTTTATGTGTGATTTGAAGTTACAGTGAGACTGTTATAAATCTGTTGCCAGGATACAACTAGTGAAGACTGAGGAGACTTAGGGTAACCTAGTGATTTGTAAAGTGTGTATATCAGCTGTAGCACTGTATTACTTGTAGTTACAAGTTGTGTTTATAAAGTGCCAATAAATACAATCATCCAATCCAGATTCTGTCATACAGGTCACACAGTACTTACTTACTTACTTACTTACTTACTTACTTACTTACTTACTTACTTACCTACTCATGGAGCTGAACCCTTCTGGAGGGGCTACCAATTCTGCAGCTACTCAAGAATATCCCAGCATTTTATGGAACCTGAAGGTTCATTACCATGTTCACAAGAGCCATCCACTGGTCCCTATCCTCAGCCAGAGCAATTCAATCAATACCATCCCATTCTGTCTCTCTAAGATCTATTTTAATATTGTCCACCCACCTATGCCTTGGTCTTCCCAGTGGTCTCTTTCCTTCTGGCTTTCCCACCAATATCCTCTATGCATTCCTCGTCTCCCCCATTCATGCTACATACGCTGCCCACCTCATCCTCCTTGACTTGGTCATTCTAATTATACTTGGAGAAGAGTACAAGTTATGAAGCTCCTCATTATGCAGTTTTCTCGAACGTCCTGTCACTTCATCCCTCTTCAGTCCAAATACTCCCCTCAACACCCTGTTCTCAAACACCCTCATTCTGTGTTCCTCCCTTAATGTCATAGAGCAAGTTTCACACCCATACAGAACCACAGGCAAAATTATAGTTTTGTATATTCTAATTTTTATGTTTTTGGACAGCAGACGAGAAGACAAAAGTTCTGGACAGAATGGTAGCAAGCATTACCCAAGTTCAATCTCCTCTTAATTTCCTCCTGAATCAGGTTTTGATCTGTTATTGATGTTCCCAAATATCTGAACTGTGCCACATTTTCAAAACATCTGTTTCCTATCTTTATGTCATGATTTTGCCCTGCATTTTGGTGACGAGACAATAGTTTTCTCTGTGTTTACTTCTAGACCAACCTCTTTACTTGCGTCAATTAAAGTTTGTGTGTTTTTCTTTATGGTATCTACATTATCACCCAGTAGATTTACATCATCGGCGTAGACCAACAGCTGATGTGTCCCACCTGGTTTCCCTATACCTTCCTAATGGCATATTCTAAAGCAAAGTTGAAAAGGAGTGGCGATAAAACATCTCTTTGTTTTAGACCATTCTGGATAGGAAATTTATCAGACAAATGTTTACCTATACGGACTTTACTCTATGTTTCGTTTAAACACATTTTAATCAACCTAACTAGTTTCATGGGTATCCCAAACTCTTATCAGAATATTGTACAATACTTCCCTCCTAACTGAATAATATGCTTTCTTGAAGTCTATGATTACCTGATGTACTGTCTCATCGTACTCCCATTTTTTCTCCAATATCTGACGAATGCAAAAGATCTGATGTGTAGTTGATCTGTTACGTCGAAACCCACACTGATGATCCTCAATAATTTCATCTATATATGGACTTAACAGTCACACAGTACCCCAGAATAAATATTGTTTTTAATAAAAATTGTTTAAAATTGATTAATTGGTATCTATGTATGTATAAGGGGTGGTCCATGAAATCCGGCCCTTGCACCATGACCTTCAGTGATCTATTGTGTCTCAAGGGGGGTGATAAGTCTTGGCTTTATAAAGAAAACAGCAAGCTACAGGATTGAAAAGAAATGTATTTACTCTACATATTTCCCCCTGAGCTCCACACACTTATGACTTCATTGTCCTGACTTCTTTAACCCACCCAACAAAAATTATTTTGGTTGTGCTGCACACCACCTGTCTGCAGCTAATGTGGCCTCCTCAGTGCTCAAAAACTTTCTTCCCTTGAGGTGTTTCTTGAAGTTGGAAAAGACTTAGTAGTCCAAAGGGGCCAAATCAGGTGAGTAGTCTAGGTGTTTCAGAACTTCAAAATGAAGATCTGCCAATTTGTGAGGAGCAGCATTGTCTTGAAACAAGATTCCTTTCAAAAGCTTGCCTCTATGTTTGGAGACCAGTTGCTGCTTCAGTTTGTCAAGAATTGCAGTGTAGTACTTTTGCCTTGATAGTTGGACCCTCTTCCAGGTAGTCTACAAGCAAAATTTCATCTTTGTCTCAAAAGACGGATGCCAACACCCTCCTTGATGACTTCTGTGTCTTGAACTTCTTTGGATGCAGAGAACCACTGTGCCTCCATTCCTTGGATTGTTCTTTGGTCTCTGTATCATATTGTCACATGTTGGGTATGTCACGCGACAAATAACTTCACGTCGTCTTGGATGTAGCAAATTTATTCCACTTCGCTCGTACATTCATACAATTCACAATTACCCAGTTACTACCATCTGCAGTATCACAAATACTTCTGTAGTCACTGCCATGCACTTGATACAACCCGACTCGTCGACTGCTACAATTCAACTGACTGGTTAATCGTTACTAGTAACTCACTCTCTCTAGTAACTGGCTCAGTACTCACTCACTACTGAATAGTGTTCACTGCTCCTTATTTAGCCTCAGCACGGGCAACACAGAAAACAGTTACGTGATAGGTACTGCTGTTGTGTGACACCATGTTTACAGGTAACCTAGCAACACTGTCGAGAGTTATTTACTGCTGTGTAGTAATCGTGGTATCCCTTGTTATGTCACCATGGCAATGGTTGCCTGACACAGTTACTCCTCTGTTATGTCATCGCGGGGGAGGGTGTATTTACTGAGCATTGTGCACTGATGGAAGCAGTGGGGGTATGTGACATCACTCGTGAGACCGCAGAGTTCACGTGACCCCTACTTCCTGTTGCGCCATCCATGTCACAGTATATATATTGATCCAAGTTTCATCCATAGTTATGAGACGGTTCAAAAATCCCACAGGATCCCGCCGAAATTGGTCCAAAATGGCTCATGAAGCAAACACTCGGTCACTCTTCTGATCCACATTGAGACATTTGGGAACCCATTTGACTGAGAGCTTTCTCGTGTCTAAAATCTCATGAATAATATAGCCTACTCTTTCTTGGGATATCGCTAGTGACTCTGCTATCTTGAGCTGGTCTCCCAGAATGTTCATCTTCATTGCTCAAAAGTCCTGTTCTAAACCTAGCAACCCATTTCTTAACCGTGGAGTAGGAAGGTCAGTTATCACCTAAAATAACCGACATCATTTAAATTTTTGTGGCCAAGTTCCCATTTATGAAGAGATATTTCATCACTGCTCGCCACTCTTTTGTAGTGAAATCTCCATTTATTTTGAGCCATTTTCATTTCAAATCAGCAGCAAACATTAAATAATCAGGCTACAATTGTGAAATTTAGGTCAGACATATACAAAATAAACTATGATGTGATAAAATAATTATTAGTATAAAATTAGGTGAAATAAGAAAAGACAAAGACTTATCAGAACCCATACATATTATGCATATAGTCCACCCACACTAGCCATGACAGCATGTAGAACTAAAGAACATCCAGGAAATACACTCATCTGTCCTAGTGACAACACACAGCAATAGATGGAATACAATAGAGAAGAATATAGGGAAAAAAACACATAGTACATTAATTTTAAATTATTTTAACACTGATCCAACTTGGTTTTTAAGAATGACTTTCCAGCTTTCACAGATAGGGTGAAATGAAGTTCTAACTGTCCAGTTCAACTTGACCTGCTTTTGGGCAGCATTAGCTGAGGTGTGGATGGGTAAGGATAGGTAACTGAGTTGGTAAAGGTTTGACTCTGTCTCAAAGGTCTCGTTAATGTGGAAACGCACCGGTAATGCACCTTACGACAAGCCACAGTGATTCTGTATGATGGTAAATGTATTTATTTTCCTTTGCCAGTTTAAAATGTTAACAGTGGGTTAACTTAATTTGCAGAAGCAATGAGGCATAATGACATGCTCGATTTGTACCGTGCACCAATTTATCCACTGATGGTATTAATTTATTATATTGAATTTCGAAGTCACAAAACACATCCATTTACTGGTGAAGTTGAAACAAAAAGCCTCCAAGATGATTCATACCAGTAACACATCACATCTGAGCAGTGGTGTCTGATGCTAACACAAGTTCCTCATTACCAGCTGACTGGATTCGAACAGAGTTCCTCACACCTACATAAAATGTAGGAATTCCTGTCAGTTAAAACCAAAGACAATCACATCATCCTATGTAATGCACTTCCACATCTAGAAGCCATAAGCCCCAGGATCTACTCTGACTGGCTAGACCCCTCTGGAACTGACTTAGAGTGACAAAAATTTCCTCATGCTGAGATTTCCTGCTTCAGACCTTACAAAAGAATTCCAAGATCTGTGCCATACTCATTTCAAGCCCAATTAATAAATCAAAAAAATATAGACACATAATTAAATATGCCTGTAATTTTTTTCCCCCTTTGGCACTACAGCCCCAATTTGGGCCTTGGTAGGACTCCTTGGGCTGGTCACCAGCTCGTCACAAGGCCTCTACCTGTACACAAACACAGAAAAAAGCACATATACACCCAAACATTAGACATCCATGCCCCGAGTGGGATTTAAGCCCACGGTCCCACCTTCCGAACAAGCGAAGACAGTGCATGCCTTAGACCACTTGGCTGCTGTGACTGGCACCTATAATTTTAGGTGGTTATAAAATATTACAATACAGTGTAGCAGCATGTATGAAACACAGACTAAGTGTTGCATTTATGTGGAATGATAGATGCACTAATTCCTCATATTAATTTATACATTGTCTTAACCCAGCTTATAAGCAGGAATAAGTTATGTTTCGTAGGTTGACAAATAATGGCTTCTCTTTTATTCGTCTGCAGCGTACGTAGCTCCACTTCATCAGTCCATGGAACACGCAGCTCAGAAGACAGGATTCCCATCCTCCCAGGAGGCAGCAGACAAGTATTACTCTGTTGCTCCTGTGCGGCCAGCATCTCACGTTCCAATACATGGTGGAGCCATCCCTATACAGCAACCACCACAGGTGCACATGTTTACTGCTTATAGTGACATTTTATTTTGAACACATTTCAGAACTTTTGGTAAAGTTAAAGTCTCTGCTGCCTTCTTGGATTTTCTCCAGCCTACTACATCCTGTTCTTCACATACATTTGTAAGGTTACCATGTTTGAGACTGAAAACAAAATAGAACAGAACGTTTTAATAGTGATGTTCTATGGCAAAGACATCTGTTTACTGGACATACTAATTTGTCATGAGCCGGTTTTCTCACATTCTCTAGCTTAAAAGTCACACTGTTTGCATCAACTCAGTTTTTTTTATTATAGCCCAGTTTTTTCTGTTGGGTTAAGCTGTCAAACAGTACATGTCTTCATTCTGGGTTTGCTTAGTTTAATTATTTCAGAGAGTTAAATTTTTGTCACATCTTCTGCATAGAAGATGCCTTGGGAATGCAACCACTCCTTCATGATATCTTTCATGCTGTTAATATTGTCATGTAGTATGTGTGACTAGATGGGATTTCGGATAATTGGATTTATTGACCACTTACAGGTCATGACTGCAAATAACTATAACACTGTTCTTGATTTCTACGCTTTGCAGTTCACTCTAAGTTTTTTCCAACCTTTAGTGCCTTCACTAGACATTTTCTGGTAATTGCTTCAAACAGTGGATATTTCTCTGCTTTAGGGCTCATGTCCTCTCTTAACAACAGCTCCCTTCCAACTGAACTATTCTTGCTTCAGTTGTCCTTATAACCCCTTTACACAGCCTGAGAAAACACAGCTCTTCTATTGTAGTTACTATAGGATTCTGACGATGGTGTATAACACATAGAGATATTGGGTTTTCGGACTTTATCCATCGTCCTGGTTTTAAGATAACTAAGAAAAACACAACGTTTCGGAAACTGGATCTGTTTCCATCCTCAGGTGGGGGAAAACACCTATTCTGTTGGGTCCCTTAGAAAGAGCTAGCCTCAATCACTGTGGTCCAGTCAACTGTCAAGTCAGATATAGCACCATCTGTTCTCAGCCTCCCTTGCAGAGTCAACTGAACTGGTTGCCCCAGTTCTCTTCTTTATAACCACTTTGTACAGTCAGAGTCGAAACACCATTTCCAACAATAACTCTGTTGTTGTAGAGGCATGTTTACCAATCCATTGCCTAGGAACAGGTTGCATAACACCAGTATTTATTTGCCAATTGCATAGCAACGACTGTACATGCTACAATTTTCTTGTCAAATCTGTTCTGGTTCATAAGTTTCATTTCATGTCATTTTGTGTCCAGGGTGCCAAGACTGGTGGGATAACTTCAGGATATCCAATTCGGGCCCAACCTGTGCCTGCACCTCCCCATGCACCCTCTCATGTCACTACAGGAAGTTACCAACCTAATGTATCTACACCTCATGTAAGTGATTGTTTTATTAGGGTTATTAGCACAAAATGGCAGTGTTCTGTGGTTCCTATACAAAAACTCAAATGCAGTGGAATGCTTTTGACCTCCAGCACAACACATCTGAAAATGTGCACATTGCACAGTAGCAAACACAACAAAACTTGGGGTGTCATTCTGTATGTTACAGTTCCCAGATAATTGTAATATAATGAGTGTTTTTGTTTGGCATAAAATGATGTCTCTCTGCTCTGATTTACTGCTGATCCCCTTTCTGATATTCCTTGATTTAAAGTTTCTCCCATTTAACATTTTATTTCAGTTAGCCCAAATCAATAAGGGTACATTTCCTCCATTTATGACGTTTCTTCTCCACTTCAGTGTTCAAATCTACTGATCCCAAAACACACTTTAAATTGGGGGTGGGTCATTTGTTGTCCACATTTATTTTCTTACTGTAAAACTATTTTGTTCCCTATAAATGTTCAATTTACGCATGTAAGGAATCAGATTTCCATAACCTCTATAACATTAACTTGTCGCCTGGGTGATGTTTACCCTTTGCTCCTATGAATGTACTAAAACTAGTAATTTCTGTCTTCAGGTAACTGGAGAAAGTGAGAAAAGTTGGAAACTTGTTTCGTGCAAATATAATTATCATGAAACAAACTGTATACTGTGATTTGCGTGTATACCAACAAGATGCAGTTCTAATGATGTTCCTGTGTAGCAAAGAGGCAGATGCTTTTTGTTTCATGCAAAGTAACACTTTACCGCCACCTTACTTGGGAGTATGGAGAATGCTTAGCATCACCTTATAAGTATTTTGATCATCAGAACTCATTCTTGACTCTGGGATGTCAGTCTGTGACACAGTTGTGACAGGCGCAGTCACATGATTCCTTTGTTTTTCTGTATCATCCACACTGTTACTTAACATATCATTTCCACACAGATAGTCACTTTCCTTTAAAACGTTATCTGTTTGAAGTAGTTACTATAGAATTCTGACGATGGTGTATAACACACAGAGATATTGGGTTTTTGGACTTTATCCATCGTCCTGGTTTTTAAGATAACCAAGAAAAACATGACGTTTCGGACTAGGTCAAAAAAGAAATGCTGGCTTAACTTACTCAATTTTGGCTGTTATCTCCTTCAGAACATATTCAGCAATCCCATTGCTTTTTCCATGCTTCAAAAACACCATGGAAGTCATTTTCCTTAATGCTGTCGAGTACCGCTTGGGATTCCCCTTGGATGTCAGGCACTTTCAAAACATTGACCCTTCACTTTGATTCTCAATTTGGGAGACAAAGCAAAATCACAGAGGGCTGAGTCCATCACATAGGGAGGACGAGGAACAATAACCATGTTGAAATGAAAAAGCTAAATAGTTCCGTTCAGTGTGACTGGTTAAGATTTTCTTCTTTTGATTATTCACGCCCTTACATTGAAATAAAATCTTAACCAGTCACACTGAATGGAACTATTTAGCTTTTTCATAATATTAGTGTGACGGACCAGAATGAAACAAATCAAAATAACCATGTTGTTAGTCACAAACTGAGTGGTTTTCAGTGATGTGTGGGCAGGTGCATTGTCATTATGAAGGAGCATGCAGCGCATGTTCAGATTTTCTGTTAAAATCTGGAAAACTCCATAACTGATCCCAGTGGTGTCTTTGAGCTCATGGATTGTTTGGCGACAGTCTTCAGTGATGAGTTCTCAAATTTTTTCAACATTTTCTGTCGTTTTGCTGGTGTTTTGTCACCCTGAACATTTGGCATCTTCAACTGACACTCAGCCAGCCTTGAAACATGAATGTCATTCAAAAACCATGTAAAGAATGTTCTCTAAAAGCCTCGCAAAGCATTTCAAGGGTTTCAGTAGGAGATTTACCAAGTTTCACACAAACCTTCATGCAGACACATTGTTCGATTTTGCCATCCGTCGCAGACAAAACAAAACACATGAGTCAAAAAACCACTCATGTAAAAATAATGCATGTTCACAGTGCAGTGTCACGTGGCAGACTGATGCAATAGGCTTGTGGGAGTGTGACTTTGGCCTCCCCTTTCATCTACTTTCGCCGAGGCAATTACAACAGTAATAGTCCAGAAACTGTCCAGTACCTTGTGCTCTAATTGTTACCTGCACCGCAAACAAATATGTTATAGATGTTAGCTTTAAAATTTATTTTTGGTTATATTTACTGTTCACCATGCAAAAATGTTACGATTTGAAATTAAATTCTTTTAAAATTTTTCACTGTGCTATATGTTTCAGCATACTTGGCCATCATCAGGGGCCTTCTGCACTACTGTCATCGGGTTTTTCATATTTGCAGTGTTTCTAAATGAAGTCAATGTAGTTCCTCCTTCCATGCCACATGTATTGTCCTTTTTGGTATGCTTGTTGTCTATCCAGTGTGCAGTGTGGATGTTAATATTAAATCCTTTAAAAATTTGTCACTGCACTACACGTTTTGGCCTGCCCAGCCATCATCAGGCATGTTGGCTTTTGGGAGAACTGCTGAGCCTCCTGATTCTAATACCAACTGCAGCAGGATGCTGAAATGCAACATTAGCTTTACAACATGATTTGAGTGATCAGGTTCATACTGTGACATCATGTAAGATACATTTTTGCTGTGACCTTGACTTGCAGAGTGTGTATGTGACGCAGGCACCGAGTGGACGTTTGCTGTACAGTCAGGCAGGTCCTCCTGGTCACCCTCCACCCCAGCAAGGTCGATATACAGTTCCAGGCTTGCAGAGAGAAATGTGAAGACAGCTGGATGAATGCAGAATGGTGACACTTTACATGTATGGGGTTAGGATTGCTGTTAACAGCTAAGTGTTTCATTATGTAGGGAATTTACTGTAACAAGGATATAGTGGATAACAGAACAGGCAGCTTGCAGAATGTTCTGGAGTTTGCCAAATTCTGTGATGTGACCCTTGTCGATACTTCAGAGGAACCTGCTGCTGCATGTATGATATTCTACCATAAAGATGGAAGCAACAAGTTTCTCTGAAACTTTGGTAACTATATATCAGACTACACAGCTTTACTTCTTGTAACATAGTCACTGCTATGAAAATTTCAGGTCTCACAATGTAAAGATTGTGCATGTTTAGTTCACATCTTTCAAGCTTTAAGAACTTTATAGAGTGATCTGTCTTTTTGGTTAAAAGTTCTTTTGTAAACAGGACTATGATTAGACAATTTATTGGTGCCCTTAAATGGACAGTGTTTTGGACCAGAGTACAGAATATTTTATAAACGTTAGATAGATGTGAGCATTTGATGTAACATTACCAAGCACGTTGGCTCAACTGGTAATGTTTGTGGCTCATGTTTGGAAGGAGCTCAAGGACACTCCCTTAATGAAGTTTTTCATAGCTTTCTGCAGTCTGTGTTAGTTCCTCAGATTAAGCCGTGGTTCCTTCCTTCCGCATTGCTGCCGATTCACTATTCACTAGCCATTCTACTATTTAATGCTGTATCGTCTGACCTACTGAGAGCCTCATTAAATAAATAGATAATAAGTAGTTGTGGCCTTAATTCTTTTTACTTGCCACAGACAAGCAGACAGAATGAGTTTGTTGAGGCCAAGCCTGAACATGTGTTACACATGGATGGTAGTAGGATTCCTTTGATGTTTTAGCACTTTGTGGCAAGTCCAATTTAAATATCATTTTCTCCTGTGTTTGAGAGTTTAAAGAAGTACAGAAAAAATCATAATTTCCTCAGTTTTGGCTTATAAATTGTTAAATTTTTGCACATATGAAGAAAATGTTGCACCAACATGCAGAATAAACAATTGAAATTACTAAAATTCAGATGTAGAGTGATGTCAATAATGTAAATATTGACACCTCAGTCACATCATTTTCATTGCTGGCATATGTAATGCAATAAGGCGTTTTAAGAAAAATGATAGGAGATAGATTACACCCTTGTTCAACAGTAGCCAGTTAATCCCAGTAATTCACTTCCAAATGGTAGGCTTCAAAACACTCAGTACACAGTTGTGAACTTTGCTGTGGCTTGTAGTATGTGTTACGTCCCATCATCATCATCACACACTTTGCATCTCCGCTGCAACCTGCTTGGCTTGTTATAGTCCATTGCTGGAATTGCATATGAGTAATGGCCTCAATCTACAAGTCTTCCTGCAGGGTTTGCATGTGGCTGTCTCTTAATTTCAGCCGCAGCCTTATTGACAAGACGTTCTGCCACTCTCTCAATGAAACTGTAAACTTGATTCTGTCGACTTGTTTTGCAGTGTGAAGTGTGATCATTCATAAGAGAGGTCCAAGAAGTAGGAGACAAGTTTCTTCTGCCATCCCCCTGACTTTATTTGATAAAGAGATAATAAAGCTATCCCTGTAACAGGCCATGGAGGCTCATAGTTTCATGAGCCATCAAGATTACAACATTTTCTAGACAGTCAACTCACAGATAGCAGTGAGGTTTTCAGTCTTACAAGACAGCTGCTCTTCACCCTCAAGGAAATTTCCTGGTACTCAGTTCTGTTAGAGGCTGAGTCAACCCCAGCACCATAGTGTGGCTGGAAGGATTAGGTCAGTTTGCAAAATCCAGTGACCTCATTGGCAATCAAACCTGCAACCTTCTGGCTTGTAGCATAGCGCCTCAACCAGCTACACTACCACATGCCCCGCCGGCTTTCCTTGAAAATAATAATATACCAGCAGCTGGTTGGATGTGTCCACACCACTTTCATGTTTATTGTAGTGTGTTTCTGCCATGGGTTTGTCTTCTTCATGGGCTGCCCTTGATCACAAGACATCAAGTGCCCTGTAATCATGGTCAGTTCTGTGTAAGAAAACATCTCTCACATCACACCATTTTATTGCAACAAGGTGGTCTTTTTCTGCTGACAATGTCACCTATTTTCAGAATCTTTTGTAATTCTTACTCTGTTCATCAGTACACTACCCACAGCTTTTGTACATAGAACCCACAAGAGGTAAAAAAATATGGCTTGCAAAACACAAGTCCATGGATGGCCAGTTTCTTCTGGAGTCCACAATTTTCCCGTGTCGAGATCTTTGGTTTCTGGCGTTGGCACTCCGCGGCCAGCTTTCAGTCCTTGTGCCTTTTCTTCGGTTCTCCGACTGGCATTATTTCAGCATCTACTTTGGGGACCTTTTCTCTGTGTGCCGCCCCAGGTTTCCTGTCCAGTGAAGCCGGCTTCCTCTCATCTTGACGTGCCTCCATCTCTTGGCAGGCCAATGTCTCATTGTGGTTGGCATTCGTCTTTTCATCTCTCATGGTGGCTACCTCTTCTCGCCATGCTTTCGTATTGGCCTCATGTCTGGTGTCCGCTTTTTCTTGGCCAGCTCTGATTTCCTTCAGCAGCAGTTCCATCATCTGCTGTGACTCCATTTTAGCTCATGTGACATTATAACACTGGAGGTGGCGTTAGTCTAATAACTCTTCCAGATTCGCCTCAGAATCTGAACTGATCCCACTTCTGACACCAGTTGTCACGTGTTGGGTGTGTCACGCGACAAATAACTTCACATGGGTCTTGGAGTTAGCACATCTTTATTGGACACTCACACTTACACACCTTACAATTATTAACACTTGCAGTATCACTTGACTTCTGGCCCAGTACTCCAATGTGATGTCTCTACTGTCCTCCATCGCGGCGATGGACATAAAGTAACACGTCACAATATTTTAATTTTTAAGTGGGAATCTGTTAGAGAGAATATCAAAATTTCACCCAAAGAGGGTCATTCATTCATTCATTTTATTTTTCTTCGAGTAATCCATAACAGTGATCATCACCTAGGATACAGAAGATGTTCACATACAATAAAATAAGATACAATAGTGGCCGTACAACAAGCAGCCTTGTCAGTTGGTAATACAGTAATACAAAGACATTACACCCTATTCAGTAATAAAATAATACATTAATATGATACATTATGCACATACAATTGCAAAATAATATACAAATGTAAAATAAGTGTGTAAGTCGATATAAAAATGTGACCCAAACAGCAACATAAATAAAATTTGATTTCATTTATCAGACCACTCGAAGCATTCATTTA